TGCATCACTGGTATCATCTTAATGTTCCCTGATTTCTGAAGAATCATGAATATGTCTATGAGGGTAAGAGTCAGTTTTAAATAGTTGGCAGGCACAGAAGGTATAAAGCCAACTTACAAGTGTGTCAGTTGAATTAGAGCTCTCCTGCACCAGTTATTGCTCCTCCCTACCTCCCACCCAACCCTTTTGGGGTCATAAATAGCAGGGGGAAGAATGAGTGAGCATGAGGTAAGAAGCCAACTGCAATTTTTTCTTACATGAAAGTTAAGCTGAAATATCCCTGAGAACGGAGGAACTGTGAATGCCATTGGATGCTTTGGTTATTACTTAGGACTAGACACTTAATTGACTAAGTTGGGACAATGTTAATGATTTAAAATCAACTAATAGTAACCAGAAAAGTCACAGAGCCTGTTTAAGGTAGGCTTAAATAGTAGCAAAAGAACTTGCTCTGCTGAATATTTTAGAATGACAAAGAAAATAATAAGATTGTGTTACATGCAAGTTATGTTCATTAACACCAGAGTTACAGTAATAATAATCTTAGCTCACATGTTTAACTCTTGTTTATGGACCTGAAATCCTAAAAGAGAAATCAAATATAAAATTAAGAAAAATAAATATATAGAAAGATGGTATTATAATCAAAGAATCAGACATTTCCAGCAAATTCTGGAAGATACAGAGAAGTGATTGGATAGATAGAAAAATTAACATCAACTAAGTAGCTGAAACCTAGCGCAAAAGAAGAGATTTATTGAGAGGAGAATGGATACATTTTCCCCATAAAGTCATGGAAAATTTCAAACTTCAGATAGCATGGGGCTGTAAGCAGGAGCCAACTTTAAGAAAGTCAGCAAAGTAATTGAAGAACTCTGGGAGCTATTGTGTATGCATATGGCACCAGTCTGAGGCATCTACCTGTGAGATAGAGAGTGTGAATGAGATTTTCCGTTGTGAGTTCCTATAGTTGACAATCATGGTGGACACTACAGCTTGACAATAACCTGACAGATAAAATGGGGCTCTCTATTTCCTCCATAAACATAGGTAGAGCATAAAGAAGAGAAAGATTGAAGTTTTGAAAGAAATTCACTTAACTGGAATCTACATAGAAAGAATGTGGAGAAGAGAGAAGCAGTAATTATTGGTATAGTAGAGGAAAATGTCTCTGAGTATAAGAGAGACTTGCATCTCAACTTTCGCACCTCAAGCTCTATATCAAAGGAAACTATGTAAACTTGCCAGTCTATTCTATGAGGTTGGAAAAATAGTAACCAAACCTGATCATCATAGCCTACTAAAAGACAAAATCATTTGTATTATTGAAAATATACAGAAAATTGAAACAGCACAATTAAAAAATTAAACAGGGC